CAGAATGCGACCCCTCACCAAAGCGAAACCCTGGAACCAATTCAGAACAAAAGCAAGCCACTGAACCCTCAAACCCAGATAAATTCAAAGTGTCTCTGAAGCCAGCACTGTCAATAAGGACACTGTCTTTTTCATCCACATCTTTTCTAGGCAGTTTTCTGTTCTTTTTCATGCCCTGAAATTATTGCCGTGCTCTCTTCCACTCTGCTACAGAACACCCCAGCAAGAATGAAGTGACAAACCCACATATTGCAGTTCTGAAAAAATGCAAACTCTTGTGTGACCTCCGCACACAAAACATTCCTATTGTACCTCACGTTTCCTGTTTGTGCTAGTCCACAACCCGGGCGACCAGCAGAAACCTTTTCAGCAGTTGCTCCACTTGGCTCTATCAGCAAGCAAGCAGAGATCCATATTTAAGAAACAAAAACACAAACAAACGCAAACAGCCAAAGCTCCCTCCGCACTTTTGACCCACAAGGAATTCGCTCCCATTCAACCCCCCCCATTACAGATTATAACAGACCATACACAGAAGGGACATTTATCACCCGCTTCTCTCGCAAGGCTGTTTGATAGGAATTCTAAACTGATTCTGTTTGCCTCGGTACATCTTTTGCAATCCATTTGCCAGAGCTGAACTGAAACCGAATCACGAGGCTGCGTCGTCCCACCCCAGCGCTCCACCTAGTGTCCCCCGGCCCCCCATTCATTTCATCTTGTCTCTCCAAGACGTACAAACACAAGACATTCCTGACGAGTTACCCTCAGTCATCTTCTTTTGGTAATTAGGTGATTCATGCCGTTTATATTTTAATATACGGTCCATAGAAGAGAAAACATCTCGGGCACTAAGCAAAAAAAAAAAAAAAAGCTGCATGCTGCTAAAAACAGTATTTAGAGTCGTTAATCATAATAGTTGTATTTCCTACAGAACCACATCACGATTACTATTTTTAAAATGTTTTTAAAGAATTGTGAAAAACCTTTAATGGACTTTGGGAAAATAAGCCAGCAGACTTGTTTTGAAAGTGTCAGAATAAAAAGGATTCTTGGAAGAGTGGCCTGCTTCCCTATTGCTGCGCTGAAGATCTGCTTCGTGCCAGCCCTTTGCTTTGTGCCAATTTGCAGCATAAGAATTGTTTCCAAAAAAGCCATGTCAAATTTTACATTTAGGGCCGGCTACAACTAAGCAAGCAGCATTAAACTAGGAACCAATACAGCAGACAACATTCAGACCCTTTATAACAAAGTTCCTGAGTCACAGAAACAGCAATAAAAAGCCTGTTATCACACTAACAAAACTGACCTCTCCCTCCTACACCGAGATGTATGCTGGAAGAACGTTCTGGTGACCCACAAAATCCAAATCGGATGTGAACCAATACTAACCAGAGGCTGTAACATCTAAGACTGCTTTAGACTGTAAAATCTACTTTAAGCAAACTGTTTCCAAGTAATCTCAGCTAACCCCAGGATCTCGCCTGGCACTTGAATTCATGCTGCTCCAAAAAGCAGCTGGTGAGAGATGCTCTGAAGAATCCAGACAAATGACAGTTTTCAACACTGGAAAAACAGCTAACCAGGCCAGGGAAAGCAAACATCCAGAGTCATTCATATAGGGCATGTATTGCATAACCTCCTCTGTGATGAGCCCGGCTAACAGGCTGAGCTTATGCACAGTTTGCTATGAAAATAGTTGTGTGCAGTAAAGGGAGGGCTATGTTTAAAAAAGATGCACCTGTGTCGCAGCTGAAGAAGTTCAGGCACACTGAACAGGTGCCTACATGCCATCAATTCCTACCCGTTGGCCCTTCATGGCAGAGACAATACTGCAAGCCTCAACAAGAGCTCAGCAGCACATGGGTGGGCCCAAGAGCATTGTTCTCTAAGCATGTAATTGCATTCCCAACAATCTCACTGTACATACAGATTTAAAACGAGCAATTAATTATAAGCAATTGTAAGCCACTTACTGAGCCTACTCTCTATTGCCAGCAAATCCAGGCACTATAGCAGAAGAGGATTTGGTGTTTTGTAACTTTTCGTTTCTTTGAATCAATAGGAAAGTAGGTTTTAATTACATTTCTTCATTATGATAAAGTACACGGAACATGAAAAGTAGATATATAGTAATGTAAAAATTAATATAGCAAGTTCCCTGATTAACCTAGCATATTTCTACTTTTAAAGGCAACTGCTGAACAACTAACAAAGCAAAATAGTTTAAAACTCCTCCTTTTGAAAGCTGGAGCTAACTGCATTGTTTCCAGATGGATTAAATCCAGAATACTGTTCTGAAATAATTTACTGCTAAAAGTTGCACCAACGGTCTGAAGTTAACACTCTGCGTTGCTTTTCACAAGGTGTAGGCTCAAACTGAGGAGATATTAAGGAGTGGATTACCACACTGATGGCATATTACATATAGATATTGCTGACACAGCTGTACATTTACAGTTCAGGTACTTAAAATGGCAACACACTGTTAGGGCAACTAAATTCTGTTTTTACACTCCCACTGCCATCTGCTGGCTACAAAGCCACAGACTCATCACCAAATTATGAACCGTGTTCAGACAAGCCTCCAGTGCCCTGCAAGTGTTAACTGACCTGAATTTACAGTCCATGCTAATCACTAAATCTTGCACAGGAGAAAAGAGGAAAACGAATCCTTGCTTCTCTCTCTTCCTTCACTCAATGCCATTACAGAAGTCCCTCAGTGTAATAGAAACACGCTGATCTGTCTTACATATTTACAGCAAGCAAGTATTTCTCCCGTAGTGCTACACATTAGATGTTGATGGTGTAGTTTAATTATATTTTATTGTATTTAATTATATTTTATTGTATAACCATCTTTAACTATTTTGTTTTTTCCCTCCCAACCAAGTCACATGAAACCCTCCCTCTTACGTTCCAAATAAATACCTTCGCTAACAATATTAAACTAAATGTCTTTTCCCAGGTGATGCACCTCCCCGTCATCTTTGGGAGGTTGTTCACCTCCTAAACACCCACCATAAATTATATTGATAAGCCAATAGAGAAGTTATACTTTGCATATTAATGTCAGCTCAGGTCATGGCCTAAATATATCCATTAGGTTCACGTATCACTTGAGTTTTCCTGTGGGGTATGTAATGCAATTTAATTTGCTTTCTATGAAATTTAGAACTATTTAAACATCTGGATTTTTCAATACAGTAAAAAAAAGGTCAATTCATTCCACCTTCTTAGAGGTGAAAAAAGAAGTGGTGCTATCCTATGAAGACTTCTTTATCTGACAAAATCATCTTGGGAGTGGCCTTAGGGTATAAAATGACAGCACCCTTGCTGCCCTACGTCAGATCAAGGTACAGCAAAGAAACACTAACCACCTTCAAATGCAGTTTAGAAATGGTGGATAGTGTTTCTTATTTACTGGATTTCTGACGTGTAAAAAATTAAGAATAGAAACTGCACGATAAGCTCTCCACACTGCTTCAAAGAGGATGTCTAAAACCATGGTTAGAGGAAATCTTAAGTTGACTCTCACTGGTTGATCGCCTACAAAAGTATTAAAAAAAAGCACAAGGTTAAAATCTATCATTTAAACTGCTTCCTACTTGCTGATTTAAATCATGACCAACTGGTTTCTGCCGCAAACCTGGAATTGCTTTCCTCTCTCTTCCTCTCTCTCCTTCTGAATAGCTGGTGATCCCATCCTGCTGCATTTTCACTCTCACCATAGCCTGGCAAAGAACCCAAAGCGAGCTGAGTTTGTGAGCTTGACTCCACCTCACACATCACTCGATGCTGGCCTGCCTCTCCAGAGAGCCAGAGCATCCCAATTCAGGACTGATGGTTTTGACTGATTCTCCCTCTGTCCAGCCCACGTGTCTTACTGTCCCTAAGCCATTAACAGCATCATCTGTGCAAGTCACAGGGCTGTACTTTGTCAATCCACCGCTGTCTAAGCACTACCCAGTGTTACATAAAAATGTTTAGACACTGTGTTCATCGGCTTCACCGAATTTCCATTTCCAATCATTTAGACTGACAGCAAGATTTTTGTCTAGAAGGCTATGCATGCATAAACTCGTTACTGTTCAGCAATAGCTTCCTTTCTCCTGTACTTTCTGCCTCCAGTCTTTAGGAGAGAAGCTACACTAATAAGTCTGACATTACTGCCAATGCAGCCCTTACAGATGCCATTCGATCTAACAGGCTTTGCCCTGCTGTGTGGAAAAGCACGAGTTTCTTGTTTCTTGTAGTGTTTTCTGTGTTATTGTTAATGATTAAAGCAGTTCTGAAAGTAAACATCTGTAATTGTTCCAAATACAAGATGACATTTGTTGCATAAACTGGTTTTAATTATTTTGTGGCCATGAATCCTTTTCTTAAATCCAGGACAGTGGTTTCATAAACAAGGAACTAATCCAATGGCCAAAAGCAAAACACACCCAAACATTTCCCTAACTTTCCTAGCTCAGCTGAGATAAACAACATCATATAAATTTTCAGAACAGATTATTTTATCTTTGTAGACAAACATTTTTCTTGCTATTATTTTCAAAGCAAAATTAATACAGACTGGATTTTAAAATAGCTGCTTATTTCAGTGGTTTCAGCTAGAAAAATGACCATTTTAAGATACTAAAAAAAATGCTAAAAAATTTTAAATGGAAACATTTGAGCTGCACACACTAGAAAACGTTCGATTTAAATTAGGAAATTAGAGGATAGAGCTTGCAGATGTTGACTCATTGTTTCAAAGTGAGGATTAACAGCAGGCTCATACCTACAGTTCAGCAAACATGTAACACACAAACTACAAAACAACATTATAGAATATAGAATATGAGCATTCACTAGAGCCCAGAAACATTACACTAAGTATTTCCTTCTGAAGTACTTAACCTCTAGGACATACAGGATATTCTTTATTCACATATTTTTAAATATGCAACAATTAAAATACTTGATTCAGAAAGAACATGGGATGGAAATATCCTTACCAAATAGAGCAGAAAGGTGTGGAGACCTGTTCCAAGTCCAACAGAGGACAGAATGCCTAATCCTACCCAGTAGGCACACCAGATGAACTTTTTCTCCATATACCGCACATACTGAAAAAGAAAAGTCACAAAAGAGAAAAAAAAAAATTAAAAAAGAATGGTGATACCTCCTAGGGGAGAAAGTTAACGACCTAACACACACAGTTATCTGGATTACAACAACTGAAATATAATCCTAGATACTTTCATTTGCAAGTTATTACAATTGCAACACAGACATGTACAGAAAATAGCCCACTTTCAAAAGAAAAGCCCACACGCCTTGGAATAAGCACGTTTCCAAGGAGACAGATGAAAAATTCAGGTTCAATAGTAGAGGGTTGAAATCCAGAACAGGCATACTAGGTGTGAGCAGCGAGCAGGAAGCCCCAGACAGCATCTACTAGACCCCAATCAGTGTGCAGACAGCTCAGGGAATTGCCTGAACAGATGAAATAAAGGAATAAAATGAGCTGTACTCTAAGTCTGTTGGATGTTTTATCCCGGACCAGTGAGTAACCAGGTTTGTTACTTTTAAGAAAAAAAAGGTTGTGTGATGCACACAAATGAGGGAATATGGATAAGTCACAGCCAATTTTAGACATAAAAAGTCCAGCTGGGTACACTGGAAAGGCAGGAAGCAGTATCTCACTATCACTATCACAAGAGCAATACTAAGAGGATGACCCAGGCCATCAACTTGTCTGCACCACAGCCCCAAGAGAGATGCCATTTTATGCCATCCATGGACCAACAGTACCAAGATGAAGTTTACCAGGTCTTAAGCAGGTTTCAATCAAGGTGTCAAAAAGTCCTGAAAACAGCAAGTGAAAACCACAAGTATACTTTGCTATCTTGAGTACGCTTTTGAAAAAAAAAAAAAAAAAAAAAAAGTGGTTTGCATTCATGTATACATAGGTGGTACACAGGGATAGGTAGAGGCAGTAGTGGGACACGGACCCAGCTCTGGAGGAAGGGGGATGGACAGATACCTGCTGGCACACACGACAGACACCCGTGACAGAGAGCTCCAAGCCCTGGCTGGAGCCAGCAGCTCACACTCCCCTCGCCAGTCCCAGAGGCACAGGTTTGTTCCCAGCAGGCTCAAGGAAAGCTCTGGAGCAGCACTGCTGGGCCAAGCCTTGGCACCAGGATAGCCCAGCAATGAGCTCAGGGGCCATGTGCCTCAACACCAGTTTGCCAGGGCCATCTAGTGGCAAATGGTGAGTGCGTCAGGCTCCGGGCCTCATGCTGACCAGCCACCAACCAGGGCAAGTCTTTAATGAAGTATTTGTCTATCAGGAACGGGTCACTGATTTACCATCCACCGACTTGCTCTGCGTGTAAATGCTTCGGTCTCACGTGTGAGATCGAGTGAGCAAGACTGCGGTGAGCTGAAGGAACTCATTTCACTGCAATTCAGGACCCATTCTGGGAAACCAGAACTCCTGTTCCAGACCTACGTGTCCCTCAGGCAGCCAGTAACACAGCACAGCAGGATGGATGTAAGCAAGTTCTCTGAAACTGGGAACCTGCTGATTTCAGAGTCAGAGGGGTAAGATGATTCAGTTGCACAAGGAAATGCTGTGCAGGGTTTAAAAGGGCTGCCTGCCCTCGGGGAAAATCTGAAATTCAAAGAGAAACCGGGAGGGGAAAGGTGTAGACAATAGCATCACCTTATGCTTAAGCAATGGCTTACACTTCAAGTGATGCAAAAGCATCAGTCTTCACAAACAACAAAGCACAAAAAAAGTTTTTGAACGACCATTTGAAAACAATGGGGGCACGAGAAGCATCACGGAACCAGATTTGAACCATGAAACCATTTTATGTCTATATGTGCCTATCCTAGCTAGTCAGGAGACCCTTCCACAGAAGCAGAAGAAACATTTTGTGGGAACCACAAAGCTCTATCATGACTCAGCTGAACATTACGTCTCAAGAGCTCGCACCGCTATTAAAAGCTTGTTAACAGCAGATGTGAAGGAGTGCTGCAGCACTGGAGGTGTGCTTACTCAGGAACAGATGAGAAGTGGAACACCTACAGATGCGACAGAATAGATCAAATAGATCATTCCCCATCTCTAAAATGTAACTCATCCACACACAGCAGAGAAGAGACACGAGAAACAAATATCCTTAGCGAGTAGGAGTTCAAAAGACACATTACAATTTCATGAAGACCCCATTCAACTCCCAGTACATCTACTTTAGCCCAGGGACAGGAACTATTAGTCACTAAGGAAAGTAACTTGAAAACCTCATTACCTGTTGATGTGTTCCTTCAATGTAATATGTAGCTGCAAGCACTGCAAGCGTCAGTAAAAAAGACACCAAGATACTTCGCCGATGCCACAATCTTAAAAGACAAATGGCAATTAGGGCTTGTCATAATTTAGCATGCATTTCAAAGTAACTTATTTCTCCCTGTAGACCGGGTCTGTCTGCATGGATGTAGTCAGTGGGGACAATGGCAGCTGAAAAGTTTGCTGTTATAAAAGCATAAACCTCCCAAGAAAATATCTGGGCTGCCTTTATTCTTTAGGGAAAAAATCTCGGCTTCACTGTCAAGTGAGATCAAAGTTCAGCCATGCTTTTTTTTTTTTTTTTAAAAGAAAAAAAATATCAAGAAAAACAAAGTAACTGTCTCAAAACAAACACAATCTGAAACCAAATATTCAGCTTCAGCAGCCAAGACAGTCTCAAACACAGGGACGTCAACAACATCCATGGTTAAGCAAAGTGCAAAGTGGGCACTGCACTGGCCCTGGGCAAGGGATGAGCTGTGAGTGGAATACAGAAGTGCTAATTTCAAACTGTGTGCTGGTGGGTGGAACCACAGTGACAGTGAGAGGAACAAATCTTTACACTACTTTGGAACCCCCGATCTATTGAAATTAGTATCTCTTGTAACAGCTCAAAGTTTAATAAATACATTTTAGATAATTATGCCGCGTTAGGAAGCTACTACAGTTAAGGGGAGAAGAGTGTTTTCCTATGTAATTTGATACCAAATTATTTTCGAGCCTTTTTATTTTCACATAAGCATTCTGCTTGATGTGTATGATGGCCACACACAGTAGTCTAGCAAATACATTTATTGTTTTCTAGGAAACACTATTATACTGTCACCTAATGCTATAAAAAAGCAAGTGCTAGCATCACTTAATCTCAGACATGACGTTGCAAACTTATCTATTTAAACAGAAAAAGATAGAAATATGGGAGGAAAACAAGTCACAAATGTTTCATATTAAGCAAACTGAAAAAAGTCGCTCTAACTTTCCTTTAATTTGAAAATAATTTGTGCTGCTTATAACTCATGACAATTGCATTTTCAAGTGATTGTCATAATTTTAAATCACAATTTACTCCAGTGGAACACAGGAGATCATTAAGAGTCAATCTGAGGTCTCAACAGCTTAAAATAGTGTTATTTTCTGTAAAGATATTGTCATGCTGGTGCTAGACAACATAAATGTGCTGCACAACAAGAGGATGCAAGTGCTATCTGTAACAGAATTTGATGTCTAGGCAGCCATGTAATAGCTTAAAATAAGACCTCAAATATTTTTTCTGCTGGGTTTAAATAAATGCTTGGAGGTTGTCAGAAATGGCTAATGTAAGACCCAATGAAAGTTCTCAAAGAAACAATTCCCAATGATAGTTGAAAGAATGCACACAGTAAAATAAGTTTGGGGGCTAGATTTGGAGGGGAGGGGGTGATGTAGACAAAAGGGGATTCAGACTACACTGCATAAACTTGGTATTTTTCATACAAATCATTTCAGAAGATCAGAATGGAAAACACAAGTTTCTCTCGGTGGATCTTAAGTGTCAGCACCTTGAACCTAGCCCAGAAGGGTCAACGAACACAGCCACTACCACCAATCTCACTCTGCAAAGGAGCAGGCCAACACCTAGAATCACCCAAGGTGATATTAGATCCTAGCTTCTGACTGGGAAAAATGATTCTAAATTCAATCCCAAACGCAAGAGATTCCAGTTACCAACACAGCACTAGGATGGCTGCTACTCGGCTTTTTCAGTTGCCAATTTTACTCATGTTTGCCTTTTGGTACTCAAAAAGATTTCAAGCCTAGTGTGTTAAAAAAAATAGCCGTGCATTTCGGCATTAGTAGGGGATGTTAGGACTGCTACTCACAAATTTTCTAACTGGAATAAAACCCCATTTTAATCAGTGTGTAAATAATGCTTAGGAAAAGCGTTTTAATAAATGATTTCCTGCTGTGAAAGGGACCACGTATCTTAGAAGCAAAGTCTTCTTTGCAGCATCATAAACATCACTGCAAATTCCACATAATCCTGAACCCTGCCCTAGCTGAGCTATTTGAAGATCATTCAGCAATACATTAATAGATCAGTACTTAACACTGCAGTCGTAAGTACAATATCTCTTGCCTTAAGGATCCCTAAACACTGTCCCACTCCTTCAAATTGGAATATTCAACTCTTCAGAAAGGAAGTTTGCAATTTTCTTCCACTGACAAAATATAAAAAAAAAATACAAAAATAAATATTTTCTGAAAGAAGAACTTTAAAGTTGCGTATCGTCAGGGAAAGCGAGATGTCAGAATGACCTACTGAATCAGAGCATGGGTTTCCCCAGAACGCTTAGTAGAAGTTAAAGAAATGATCTTTACTTTATGGTCCATTCCTTCAATTTTGTTAGAGTTTCCAGGAAAAAATACTGCAAGGTAACAAGCGGTTGTTTCCACAGTACAATATTCAACCTCTCTTCTCGGTCCTTCCGCTTCCGTTCACTCAACAAAGAGGAATCTGCAAATGAAAAGCAACAGAAATGTAAAAGCACAGGCTTACAGTTCAGATTCTATCCTACCCAAAAAAATACCAACTCTTTTTTTGCTTTGTTAGGAAGTTAATGTGAGCTCCCAGTCATCTTTCCTACTCATCACAAAGTGTTTGCTCCAAGTGCATCAGAAATCAGGCAACGTCCAGCAAAGGAAATAAGGTGGCTTTTTTTCTTCTGTGTAGCTGACCACCACTCAAGACTGGCCCAGGGTGCAAAAAGTCTGGCATGTCTATCAGCCTTTATGCAAGGTACTGCGCTACTAGTGACAAACCAGCTAATACATTAGGTCAAATGAGATTCTATCACCCACCCCAGAGACCGCATTTCACTCTGAACTTTTGAATTTGGTTCTCTTCCAAAGCTATTCTCAGACTTCTCCAATCAAACTAGATTGAATTACGTGTGCTCTTTATACACTTCAGTCACCGTGTAACTGGATAACAGCATCTATCCTCCCAGTCAGGATCCCCAGGCGACGGAAAGCCTCGCCACGCTGCCCAGCTTCTCCAAAGTAAGCCCAGCAGCCAGGAAGTGTTCCCAGGAAAAGGGCCTGCTTTTACACCAAGTCCTTCGCTGCACTGACACTATACATTTGGTTGCTTTTAACTGCAGTGATTTGGTTATAATGCAGTGCCCAACACCACTGTAACACACTACCATATAAGTGCAGAAGAAAGGTTCTTCTAATAAATGTGGTTTTTTGCACTTACACGAGTCAAGATTTTCTTTACAATCAAGATTAATAAAAAAACTGGTTATTTTTTGGATGAGAATGGCTTGTTCAAAGGTTGTCAAGCTAATGAGTGGTAATAATTTTTAAACTTTTAAAGAAAATCAATTCTGAAACAAGAGGGGAAAAAAAAAACAATAGCACAAAACAATGGCAAAAAAATGCACAAAAATAACTCGTATCCAAACAGACACCAAACTTGTTTAAACATCACTTACTATACAAAGTCAAAACATATGTAGTTCGGCATACATTTCAAGCACTGCAATAATACTCATAAATTTTAAATTTGTGAAAAGCTGTTTCATCGGAAATATCAATCTAATCTGAACCCCCAGCATATTGTAACCCAAGATGTATTATTTCAGTCTTATTCCAGTATTTGAAACACACTGCCTTATCAGTTGCTAAGATTTACATGGAAATTGCATACCTTGCTAGTCACATAGCCCATTTCATTTTGCATTCTAAGCATCAGTTGCTTTAGATGAAGTAAAAGAAATCCTACAATGGCAAATACTGGATAACATCCACATTCCCTCAGAGTTACAGAATGATTTAAGACTTCAAGTAAAACCCTTTGATTTGTTCCATACATACACACATACGGTTCCTCTTTAAATTTTGACACATTCATTGCTTCAAGAATTTATATTCTCTATTTTTCCCCTTAATATGTCTAACAAAAATGCTTCAACCTTGTTTTTTATGACCTTGTTTTTAGTAAAGGTCATAAAAGACAATGGTGTAAGACTGCGTACAACTTGAGAAATCACTTGGTTACAAAACTTAATTAAATATGGAACTGGCACATTCAAAGCTGAAAGGAAACAAACTAAGATAATTATAATTTATATGCTATACTACACAGCACATACAATTTATGAAACATTCTCAAGTTATTTTTCATGAGTCCTAAACATTAACCTGAGCTTATTTCAGACATACCAGTAGGAAAAACAAGAGGCAAGGCAGGAGATGAAGTAGTTAACTGTTCTGTTCGCAATTTATCATTGAAACTGATAAATTATAGTGAAGCTAAATGTCAACAGAAAAGCTAGAAATTGGGAGACTAATAATTGGGTTTCTCCCAGAGTAAACCAGATTTTTATTACCAAGTACTAACATTTCAGTGCCAAAGGGTGGGGCTGAGTAGCCTGATTCTACAGCCACGTATGTGCCAACATAGTTCAGTTTTTTAGCTCAGCCCTGTTGCAGCCCCTGTTGGTACCCAAAGTCAGCTTCAGAGGGCTCACGTGCATATCAACTACAGAAAAAGAATTCTGGAGGGAGAAAAGTGTATAAGAGAAAACAGAACGGAAACACACAGCATAAAACTACTCTGTGGCTTTACAAAACATAAATCATCCAGCCTTCAGATTTAGAGATGACTGAAGTTTCCAGGATTGATTCAGGCATTGAGGCCCTTCACGTTAGTCGGGCATAAAGTGCCCCAACAGAAACTCCTCTGAGTATTGCACTGGCCATTTCACACACCGAGCTGGCCAGCTGAGAACATTCAGCCATTTTCCACGTACCTGTAAAGTTCCCATTGTGCTGTTCTTTGGTCATTCCTATGCGTCTCTGATCACAATCTGTTCCATTCTCTGCCATTTCATAGATCAGTCACGTATGGGGATCTAACAGCAAAAGAAAACCAAAAAGCACAATGTCTCTGTTTCTGGTTATAAAGATTCCACTTAGTCCACAGTTAAAGAACACAGGCAAACATCCAGCAGTTCTCCAAATCACCGTTATCCAGCATCACACCATTAAAAAAAGGAGAAAGTGATTCAATTCCCACAATGACGAAGATTAAAACATTTCCACCTACATAAATCTAAATTTTACACTTAAATGACAAATCTCCCTCACTTCTAACAACCGAACAAAAGGTGGTTAAATAATCCCTTCTACTAATCAGCCCACTGTTTGGGTTCCAGAAGCAGCAGAGCTTCATACAAACCTGAGCTCAATTCTGAGAGGTGCTTGAGATTTGATTCTCATTACAAAGCATCCATTCTGGCACTATGCTTCCAGGTAGTCAGTATGCATGTAGACCTCAAAAGCCTCACAGCCTAAAAAAAAAATACCCCTCAATATGGTAACAAAGATACAGAACCGCATCTCATGTTTTGCAGAGTCTAGTACCTCTAAACTAGAAAAGGTAGGCTCTTCCACAGACAAGAGCTCTCTGATGATTTCTGAAAAGTGTACATTGTGCCTGCTAGTTTAGCATCCCTCTAGTAAGATCAGCCTTAAAAAGCCCAAAAGAACAGCTGTGGTTTTCCTTATCCAGGAGAGTAAATAGTGCAGTAACTGGAAGCCAGCAAAAACAGAATGTTGCAAGAGCTTCTTTAAAAATCCAAACCTGAGCAGCTGACAATTCTTATGCAATCAAACACAAAGAAAGTAGCCAGTCAGACTCCTTGCTTTAAAAACCCTCTCTTGAATCTTAAAACAGTTTCTGGAATTTTATTTTGGAAAGAGTCCCACAAAGCTAAAGCATCTTATTTGCATTACATTTCTCCCTGTAAGCAAACATGATTTACAGTTTTTGATATGCTGCTTTTGTTGGAAAGAAAAGTAGTGCAATATTAAAATGACACGTTATATAAAACCGTCTAGTGGAGGAAATTAAAGTTTTACAGAAAAAATACTTCCCCTTTGATTTATGTCAGACCTAAAGAGCCAAGCAGCAACCCAGGTTAGGTAAACAGGACTGAGATCACCCCTTTGATTCAGACTGCAATGATTTTTGTCAATTTTTAAAATAAAATGTTTTAAGATTTCAGACACTGTATTTGTTTAAATTTCCAGGGTTTCACCAGTCAGCTTTAGCCAGATGTGCTTCTGAACAGGCACAAGCCTTGTGCATTACTTGTAATACAGATAAAATTACTAGCTAGTGTGTGATTATTAAAGGGGTTTCACTTAAAACCCAGTCGTCAAAAACATCAAGGTCTCAGCAAGGAGTCCTTCCTCCAACATCTCTCTGAAATGAAAGGTGCAGAAATAGAAATCTGTCTAGTTAAACAATCTAGCAGAAACTAGTCTCTTGCATGTTACAGTTTTATTTATTGAAACTTGGGCCCCAGATTACCCAAACCACCAAGAAAATTAATAAAACAGCCTTGCAAGAGTTTCCTCCTGAAAAAAGCTGAAGGGCTCCATAGCCAGCCAAGGACAGAGGTCTGACCTGCTGCAGTAAGAGCTCTACAGCATCATTTTGCAGTCACTTGCAATCGAAGGTTTGCTCTGCTAGTCAAACACCAGAGAAATGTGAACCCCCTCCTCTCCTCAGATCGGTTTTATAGCAGCCTGACACTCTGGAAGTCAGTGGGGTTACACCAGTACTTAGTTGAGGATAACCGGCCAGTTGCTACGGTGACACAAGGATCAAATGTTTAGCTATCTCTTAATTTCATTAGGACAGTAAGTCCCTGTAGATGGTGGAGTGTTTTGTTTCTACTGCTAGCAGTGCTCTTCTTTTTATACCTATAAATATGTATTTTTATACATATACACTACCAGCTTAGACAGACGTATGTATATCACACACATTTACACACACAAAGCTCAAACTGCAGAGGGGAATATTTAAATTGGGGATGCAGTTAGAAAGCCTGACGTTAACAGAAAGCTGCTTAGGAAGCAAAAGCCATCAAAGCTGTTCTGCATACAGCCACACTAAAAAAAAAAAAAAATGTTCTGGTTTAAGGAACTTCAGTCACATTTTGTTGGTTTAAATATAACAAACATTAAAAAGAAACCCCAACTTAAGTGGAAGCCACATGTTCCTCATTTTGAAATCTATCTTTTTTCCCCTGTGCAAATCTAGCCTTCAAAATTGAAGTCTCCACTGGTTTGGTCTCTGTTCTCAACTTAATTACATTTCAAGAAAGTCAAATTACTGTGATACAAACTGCTCTCTCTGATGCTAAAATCTAGGCTGTGCACAACGCTCCCTCTTCGTGAACTGAATTCCACTGTAATCCATTAAACATCTTACTGGCACACACAAATCTTCAATCTCTAGGGATCTCAGGTGCGTTGTTACAGACATACTACAACTTCCACAAGCTCAACTAACAGAGCCTGTTCTACCTTCTCTGCTTGGAAAGGCACTAATCTGGGATTAGTTTTGCATAACGCTACCTCAAGTACACAAATCAATGTTTCCAGCAAAGCAGATGAATAATCCCTTTGCACACTTCTGCAGGGTGAATACGTGTTAAGAAGGTCTTAAAGTTCAACCATTCTGCAGAAAAGCTTCAAAAACTTGTATTTAGAAATACAGTTGACTAGGAGATTTGATACCTATCATATGGCAAGTCTGAACAGGCTGCCATTCAGAAACCAAACCCTTAATGGTTTCAGAAAAAACTCCTTGGTTTACTGAAGTCTAATTATACTTAAAGCATCTCAGCATAAGGAACTGGAGGATGTGCCTCCAGAAAGCTCTGCTTTCTTGATCTGTTGCTCTGTTTGATGCCTGTTAGAATCCACCAGTCCTGCACTCATGTCTCCTCACTGAGATTAACTGGAGAGGGAGTCTGACCCAAAATGGAGTCATTAACCGAGTCCAATTTTCAAATTAAATTCCATCTGTTAAACAGAACTTCACTTCTTACGGATGCTGAAAAAGACACAGTCCGTACCTAAAAATAAATTTGCCTAATACACGGAGTAGTTACCAGCAAACGCAAAAATAAACTATTTAAAAGAGTGAGAAAAATAACTTTGAACATGTTTTGTATCAGGGTCGCTTAGATCATTTGTTAGAGCTGTGCTCACACAACAACTCCTTTGTAGGGCTGAACAAATAGCCCACAATACACTATTCAGCTTTAGTGCAATCCATAACGTTAAGCATAAAAAGACAATGGCTGCTAGTCAGAAATGTAAACTGGTCAACAAAAAGGGCTTATGGTAACTGTGACTGGCGCTTCACAGCATGAGACAAAGCAAAACAAGAGCATGAAAACATAACAAAATTAGGCACTGCAATCTCTGTACTCCGTAATCAGAGAAGAGGACAAAAGTCTTCCTTCTGAAGCTCTGGGGAGGCTGCTGAAGCACCCAAGTGCTGGGTGCATTTACGTCAAAGGAAACGGTTTAAGGCAAGGCAGTTGGGTGCTTGCACTCTCACTTGGGGGAGCAGAATGTGGACTCACGCTCCTTTCCAACGTGCTGAAACAACAAGGAAGCTGTTAAACTATTTTAATTATCTCACTGTTTTCCCAGACATTGTTTGAATCACTAATTCTTACTACTTCTTACTTAGATTGATCCTGGAACCCTGGCTCTCATCTCCGAAGTTATTTGTCACACAGCTGCTAAGACCAGATCTATAGCTCAGACCATTTTGCTGATGTTTTCTCCCAGCCACCGTAGCAACAGCCCATTTTCAGACTTTCATCATTTCTTGCATTTTAAACCAAATGCTCCAATCCTGCCAGTATCCTGCTGCTTCCTCGCCCTCAACTTTTCTTATAACCACTCCTTCTTCTTAATCCACATCAGTGTTTTTCAATTATGATAAAAGATTAAAAAGCAGACTCTCACAGGTGGATAAGTAATGGCACTAAACTAGACAGCATTACACATCCGTGATACGGTTTTGTTTGTTATTCAAACGCTCTACACAGGGAGTAAGTTAACGGTATCTTGGCAAAGTAACAGTTTGGAAAGCACTTTCCCTCAAAAGTCAAAGACGGCCTGGCCCATGAAAACATTTAGGTAAAGGATGAGATCAGTCTTGAAGTGAAACACTACGTACCCTTTCAGCTCCGTACAACTCTGCCACTCTTCACTACTTCTTCTGTATTTGTAGCCAGTGGAACAGACAACTACGTCCTCAGCTCTGTAGACATTCAAGACCAAAGCGACTGCTCTTCCAAACCTTCTGTCCCTACAGAGTAAGATAATACTGTTCATCATGTGATACAAAACTGACACAGTCCCCGACTTGAAGGTTAATAACTTTCCTAAAGACGACAGAAAATAGAAAAAGTAACTGCTTGATTTTTTTTCCAGTCCTTTAACACTCATGGGAAGCATTCAATTAAAATAAATTAGGACATGTCTGAAAGACGTTGAAAATCTCCACAGACTTAGCTATAATGGGTTACTTTGATATGAGTGCATTTATTCCCATACTAAAAATGTTTTTCTAACTAAAATAGTTTAATCCCTCAAAGGAAAAGTAATTCAGTTAAAGACCACAGGTTTCCATTTTGTGGGTTATGCCTCTGTACACCAGACCTATTTTCCAATTGCTGGCTAAATACCATTTCGAAAAAGTCATCTTACAATTTAAGAGTTCAAATCTCCATTTTTCCAAAAAGACTTTGGGATATATTTTAGGAAAAAAATGATTTAATATTATTACACCATGAGTTTCAGGGGTGCCACGCATTTTCTTTTGAGGTTACTAGAAGTTCTGTCCCTGCTGTTAAGGCCACATATATTAAACTGTTCTCCTTGGTGGATTTTCTCAAGAAAAACATGAATATTAATTATTGTCTGCGTAGATCCAGCAGTAGAATCAGGTGTTATAATAATACAGTAGTGTCATGCACAATATATAGATGAAAAGGCATGGAAGATGAAAGACAAAATTCACATTGTTCAGGTCTTTGCAGCGATTTTTTTTTAAGTTTCAGCAAAATAAAGTAAATATAAGAAAGGAAATTGAAATAACTGGGAACGTGAACATTATCAGGGTAGCATCCCATGCCACAGCGCAGATCACAGATCAGTTCTGTGCTCCTTAGGCTGGCAGGAGGCAGTGAGCCGGGGGTGCAGATCACAACTCACAGAATGAGACAGCTCCTGACTGGGACAACGCTCAAGCAGCTGCTCAGAAAAACCACTTCAAGGTTATCAGAGAGGGTGAAACACGCTGCTGAGCAGGTGACCTGAGGAGATCACAGCAGACCTCCTCAGTGTTACTGCTGTGCTGCTACGCTAACTTCAGTTTCCCAAGTGCCCAGCTCAACTATAATCAGATTTTGAATGAGGTAGCACTGTAATACACCATACTTCGTGTCCTCTCTCAAACAGGGGCTCAGTGACAAGTCCTACCGCAGCGAGCAGTGCCACAACAACGTACCTCTTGGGGAGGGCACGTCACATATGCCCAAGCAGCCCTTCCACCAAAACTGATGGCTTCGGAAGACTGATTTGAGCTGAGAGAAAGGCTTTGGAGAGAGGGGCCACACAGCACTGAAAAAAAGACCACAACTTAATATTCAGGTGACTAATCAGACTCTTTCACCTCCTGAGTTCCAGAGGGCTGTATCGAAATCCATACCCACACTATCCGACAGGAGGTTTGTCTCAGCGCTGACTGCATTCTGTGCTCAGAAGGTGGCAGTCAAGCTCTCCACTGTCAGCCTCCCTACGCTACCAAAAGGCACAGAGGAAAGAAAAGTCATGGGAATTATCCCAAGATAACATATCCTGCACAAAAAAAAAAAAAAGCCCTGCTAAAATTTGACTAAGAAAGAATGAAGAGTTAGAAACTTATTGAGAGTATAAACCCAGCCTTAAGAATTGCCACCTGACTCCTCCAGCTGCTGGTAGAGAGCAGGTTTGGCAGGAACTTTTGCCTTTATACCATTTTGTAAGTGCTGGGAGACAGTTTCCCCCCAAGAAGATGCTTGAACCTGCCCAGCCGTTATATCCAGAGTGCTGCTTCTGTAAGAGGAGGTACAGCACAGATGAAAAGGGAATCAACAGAAGCACCTAACAAACCCCACAGAAAACAGAAGCTGAAACATGTCCCCGAGGTGATGACTTCTGCTTTTCATTGATGTTAACAGTCTCTAACTGAAACAAATTCCGGTTACACCACGGCTGCCTTGGCCCTTCAGTGAGAATACACTGCCCATACAAGGTGAAACTCAGAGGCTAATTCTGAGCTTCATAGTAGAGAAAAATATTCTTCCAACAAGTCTTCCAACAAGTGAAATTTCCTTTTTCCCCAACAAGTGGAATATTCTTCCAACAAGTGAAATACATCAAACAACTCCTTGACTCACTAATAACATCTTATTGTCCTCCTGGGTCCATCTGGCCAGTGCAGCACCAAAACCAGCAAGGACCTGCCCCATGACTATGGTTGCAACATGCTATAGGAATACAGAAAGCTTAGTGTTGCAACAGCTTCAAGGCCATGTCCTTTGTTCTCATGGAATAGCAAAGTCCATCCAACTCACACTTCCCCGTAAGTAACAGAAGTTAAAGTTCTAACCTGCAGATAATAATACTTCTCGGATCACCATTACACCAGAAAAACTGGCCTACTCCTACTAATACGTGAGGAGAAAACAAAATAAAAAAACTATTTACAAACCAAAGCTTATTAAGAAACAAGAGAGTATCTCAAAATATGCGCTAATTACACACAACATTCTAAGAAGAGGCATTCACAAAATGTATTCAGAAACAATTACGACATTCAAAAGATATTCAAAGGTAACCACAAGAAAATAAGCTTTAAGTTGGAAACAGTGAAACCATTCCAGCTAAAAGGCTTGCTTCCAGGATACTCACCTTCCTCATGGCTACCACCCACTTAAAAGCTACCAAGTCTCCTCCTATCCTCTCCCACAGAAATTACAAGTACCATTGATTTCAGCTGCTAAGTAGGGCAAGAGGCTTAGCTCAAATTAATATCTAGTGCTCACCTCCCACTGCACAACTGGAAAGGTGTCTTTTCAAACTCTCATCTGAAAACATAGGATGAAGCCATCGTTACGACTGTCACTTATGACCAATAGGGAATAAAGAAAATTCCATCCCATGCTGCGGAAATAATGGATTGACAGAAAGAGGACTGACATAACGAAGGCCATTTCAATACGCAAATCAGTGCATTAAGAAAAGCTTACGTATGCTATCATAAGATGGTATAAAGCATGAGAACCCCCAATCGACCTATCTGGCAGGAACTGGGGTGAAATAACATTAAGAAAAGCACAAATCCTACCAGTAAAATAGTACCAAAAGCAACTGCTCAAACAAAAGACATATGTTCCAGGTGTAAGTAACATCACACTCTCCCCACCTCCAAGTGCTCAACCCATATTATTGACATGAAGTAAACCAAGATACCTGCTTGTTGGTAAGCACCACCTCACACAGCAGAGAAAACAAGGACAAAAGTGAACCCTGAATAAGTGTCGTATGTGCAGTTCAAAGTGGATAACCTGGGTTCACAGCGCTTCATAGAGAAACAGCCACTATCAAACAAACTTATTGCCCCTTCCCTCAAGTCAGCTAAATGACTTGCCAAATATTTAAGAGGCAAAACTAGAACAAAACAGGAATCTTACTGCTTTGTTATTTTCTGTAATCACGAGATGTCATTGGCCAGAGAACTAAAAACCAAACGCATCTAGGTGCTTAACCTCAGTCAACAGAAATGAAACATTAAGAGGCTTTATTGATTTGGGCCTAACCACCCCAGTGTGTAAGACAAGCCACAAACAGTCCCCAGGAACCAGGACAGCCGGCGTGATGCAGAGGATGCAGCTCACCACCCAGCTAGGGAAGCACAAAACACGTCTACTGGAGAAGCAAAGACCAGCAGTATCTGAGCCTTTGGGGCCAGAAGGATGAATTTCTCACTGTGTCATCAGGCATCGTCCCTCGGGCCAAAGCAAGACGATTCCACCACACAGTTCCCGGGGTTTTGTCCTGCCTGATGTGAAGCGTCCCGAGCAGAACGAGTCTCAGCGGGACGAGGGATGAATTAGCAGCAACACAGCTCTCACCCTGAACGATGGCGACGAGCTTTCTCCCGCACTTCCAGCACCTTGGGGCCGGCTCCTTCCCCTCCCGACTTCCTTCACCCTTGCAACGTCCAACCTGCGGTCGCCTCCCCGTTACCGCACACGCCGCTCCCCCAACCCACCGGCTCTCCCGCCACCCCCCAGCCACAGGCTTGCGCAAACACCGCTCGGGCCGTCGCTCGGTCACGGTGCCCCGGGACGCCGCGACACTCCGACAGCCTCCCC